GGAACCATACCTAAATTGTTCGGCCACCTCAATATCTCCACCGTCAAGCCGGCAACCGATATCATAGGAGAATCCCCATTCCTGTTCTAGAATTTCGGCCTCTTTGAAAGTGTTTTTGTTGGCATTCAGCTTCCAATTGAGGAGCCGGAAATAGTATTTCATAGCATCCAATACCGAATTGTCAAAGTTCTCATCGACACATGGCGGCAAATCCCAGCCGGGTTCTGGCCTCGATACATCAAGATAGCGAAACTTGATATCGACCGCCACTTTCATCAGGATTTGGAATTGGGAAATCATCTGATCGATCAAAATGGGGGCTTGCTGGGCTGGGTCTTTCATGTTCTTGGCATAGGACAGACGGACTCGAATGATTTCCTGGATCAACCGAGAGGGGAAGTTAATCAATGTTAGTAGTTCTTCGATATATGGTGGCAGGTGCCGCGCAGCAAACGCCTCCGAGTTTTCAATTAGAGTACTCTTTGCTTTCTGGATGACGACGAGAATGCGAAGAAGCATGCCATCCTTGTCCTGAAGCGTCTTCAAGCCATCTTCCTTCATAATGCGATCAAGGAAGGACGAACCATCCGAAAGATCGTCCTTCGCAGACTTCATCCTCGGCTGGCTGAAATCGAGAGCCTCGTTCCCTACCCAGCTCTGCAGCACAGCCAACTCGGTGTTGATGAGGGCCGTTATGTTGTGCCACGCAAAGATGGCTGCGCGACTAGAGGTGAATTCCTCCGAGGCAGCACGGGGGTTCGCCAGTTCCATTTCCTTGTGCGAAGAGTAGAGAATCTCGCATCGCTCGACCTTCTCCACAATATCCTCGACTTGCTGTTTTGGCGGTTTTCCGATCTCAGTCTCGCCTTTAATCTGGAATCCAATAATATCCTCAATCACGGGACCCAGGCGTGACCGTGCATCCTCGATCAACTTTCGCTGCAGAGGAATACTGCGGCCGCACGTCCTTGCCCGAACTCCAATCCAGAGTGCATAGCTCTGGGCCGCCGACCGCTTTGACTCCGCAGATCCTATGAGTCGCTGCTTTTCTTGTTTCACGACATCTCCCTTCAAGACTGACGCCAGCATGGAATGCCACTCAAGCCTCTCCTGGTTCTTGGGATGTTTCAATTCTTCCGTACTTGGTAGATTATCGTCCGGGAGGAAAAGTTGGGTATCAGGGTCGTAAGAATCATCTTCAAACGGCACTTCGGAGGATGGAGAGGGTTCCTCCAAGTCGCCATCCCCTTCTGACATGAGGTTTGATTGTGAGTCCTTGGAATGGTGATACCAGGCTTGTGGGTTCGCTCGAATCCGTTGAACATAGGCTTTCTCTTGGGCACGATATTGCGCGTTCGGATCGCGTCGGTTTCCTCGTTTGACTGACGATGATCGTTGGCGGTCTTCCTGGAGGCTGATGTATTGCGGTGGGCGCCGCTGTGGGGCATACGTATTTGATGGCGTTCGTGCCGGGGCGGACGGGCGCTGAGGTCGCAAATCGTTAGGAATTGCATCAGGCTTCTCAAGGAGAGTGGTAGCGCCAATGCTAATTCCACGTGGCCGTGCTGTCGGTGGATTAGACCATGGGGTAATAACGGATGAAATGTTCGGAGGGGAAGATGTGATGGTGCTCGCAGGTGTTTGGATTTGGTCGTCCATGGTCTCTCCAAATGATGAGTTGGCTCTCACGGGATACTGGGGGAATTCATCAGAAGAGGAGCCTGAGCCATCCGAATCAGGACTGGGGATTTCCGGATGCTGCATGATGATTATCCCGTGTGATGGGTCCGAGAGAGCACATCTGGTGTTGGACCAAGGTGATGAGAGGCGAACACTTGTGGCGGTGCGTTGTGGCTAACCGGATGACCCGTATCTCCACCCATTACTGTTTGATCTACTGGGAATCTTTCCTATTTTAATTCTCATGTTGTAACTACGTGGCATCAAACTTGATCCTGTATTTGTATGAAGTCCGAGCCCTACTACAGAATATACGCGTCCAATCTTCAGTCAGCTGCTCCATTGCTCATTCCGTGTGATCTGTGATCTCACAACATGCTCCATCCTTGTTCTGATACTTACTTTTTCGTGGCTTTGCATTCGAGATTGTGAAAATCACATACAATGCATAATCAAGGCTATAAATAAGCTCTATCAATCCTATTATCATCTCGTTCTGCACTGTTGTAGTTTACGCTTGAAATTGGTAACAATATATATTTCTGTAAAACATATTCTGATATAGACTTTATTGGGCTAGTTAACTAACTAGTATATGGTTTTTTTAACATCGGCTTCGTAAATTTTCTATCTTCTAGTTAACTAACTAGTACAGTGGTGTTCCAAGAGTATTTGACCTCGGGTACATTGGGCCTATGACCCACTTTTAATACTGCCAAGCAGAAACCTATAGTTACTAGTATGCCATCCCTCATATTTGACAACATCATCCATATGAATGTAGTAGGCGGTCTGGAAGGGCGGTCAGATCCCAATGTACCCGAGGTCAAATACTCTTGAAACACCACTGTAGTTCAAGAATGTGAATTCCAAGACTACATAGTCTCTTCTGGAACGTGAAGGGGCTCAAGTAACAAAAAGGTGAGTAGAAATTAGTGTACAGTCATTGGTTAACAAGACAAATTAAGTTGCGAGAAATGGTAAGATTGAGATTATATACAAAAGTGTGTATATTTCTTCGGTATCGTTCTGTGAACAGGTAGTAATTTATAGGTAAGATACGGGAGTTATGGGCAATTCGATTATATTCCTGTTCAGAGGACTAGAGAGCCAATGTCTTCCGAGAATGACATACCTACTGTTGAGTGGTTGTGGCACCACAGCGGGTAGATTCAACATGCGAGAGCCTTTTGTGATATTTATTTTTGTGATATTTAGTAGGGTATGTATACGTTCAGATAGTGCTAAGACCCTTTGAAAAGGGGAAAGAGAACATATGACGTACATTGTATGAGATGTTATCCTCAAAGTAGAACCATTTGAACTATCGGACACTATCTGGGGAACTAGTTAGAGAAATGAGCATGTGACTTGACTGGACATACTAGAACTTCAAGGTTTGAGGAGCTAGTGCACTATTCTCGAGCTATGGAGATTTTACCCCTGATTAGAGCAACATTGCGTCTAGGTATGGAGTACATAAATCGATGTAGGTACATCGAAGAGTCGATCAGTGGATCGGTGGGTTCGAGAATACTTAATTGAAGATCATTGACACTTTGCTGCGGGTCTTAAGGTATTATCTGCATAGTCTAATACTCTAAAAAGCGTTAAGATGCAATATATTCCCTTTCCTTGATCGAACCAGACCCAAGTCACTGGGCATCGGAATAGAGCATACAGCACGGCAAAACTGACATATGCTCGAGCCTACGTCATAGATACGTACGATCATCGAACATCTGATGTTGCTGAAGAAAAATAGAGCAAGAAGACCAAAGCGCAGGAGCTCCGCATGTATTCACAGATCTACGATGATTTGATGTTGAGCACGGAGTAGAGTTCTTGGCCCGAGAGTTCGGCACATGCCGGGATGCCGAATCAGCCTCTAAGAATTCCCGCCAATGAAAGCGTGGGTGCTTATCTTGACTTGATGTACGGGATACTTTCCCTGGTTGTAGACCCTGTGGCAAAGAGTTTAGTTTTCCCGCCCCATGCGTTCTGCATTGTCGTGTGGAACCGGGTGTGTGACATTCCCGGAGAATGGGGAATCCACTGGACGATGCGGAGAGAATAGCAGCAGAAGTACGGATCTTGAATAGTTATGTATGTTGTATAGGTAGATTGCTATGCGAAACATCTATGTTGTACGAAGAAACTGTACATTGCCAAAGAATCATTTCTATCAGCGATTGATCTCTGAACTCTACATATTTTGCCGTCTGGGGCCATCCTTGGTCAATACGAAACAGTTAGAGGTAATCCCTCGCATGTCAAAGAATGTATGTATCCATGGATACGATGTAAAATTGTGAGATAAGGGAAATCGTAGCTATGATTGGTTGGCGCAACACGAGACTTGAGCCCCGGTGATAAGAGATCAAACCTCCAAGGGTTCAACCACTTCACGTTGCACATAGTAATATCCCAATTAAAAGGAAACTCATATATCCAACACACCGGGTCAACTTTCCATGGGTCACTATTCAGACACGAACTGGACGCATTCGACAAACGGATTAAGCGACAGAAAAGCATGTACTGGCCCGAGAATGATAAGCAAATGGCTGTGATTGGCTGCTCTCCAACTTCATATCTACAGCCAGTCGTTGCGGCCCCGTCCAATTTCGATTCCTAGTATTCTCTTCTGTCAGTGAAATGACTCCAATCTATTTATCACTTTGCTACAACGTAAGTTAGACCTGCATGACCCCTGCTTATCGGAGGGTCAATGCATAGCGTTTGAGATGTTCTTTGCAAGGGAAAAGGCAGAGATGTAGAGAAACAAACAAGTAGTTACACTGCAGTGTAAACATGGCAAAAGCACATACCCATAGTCCGTCCGCAGTTCAATGTCCGAGTATAGCTGAAGGATGCCAACGCAAGGACCCGTAATTCCCCGGTCTGCGTCCATGGAGTGTATACCAGATCCCGCTATAAACCCGGCATGGCTGAAATTGGGGCGGGCTTGGCCACCTGCTATCGGTCAATCAAATGAATCATATCATAAATGAGAATGACCAGCTTCCACTATCGGCACTAAGATCGATGGTCTGGTAGACTTCTAGCGTCGGATGGTGGAGTCATCCTTAGTTTTTCTGGGACGCTGCCAGTTATTTAATTACCAGTGTTTGTCCTTGCAGGGTAGACAGACATATCACTTTTCTCTCCTTTCACTTTCACAGCCCGGTGCGTGAAAGTATTTTCTACTTCTTCTTCTCCACCTCTCACAACGCGGGAGATCTGTATCCAGTTCCACTGAGACTGTCTTTCGACCCCTATCACACTTGCAATAAAATTGGCCTCGCCTAGGTCTCATTATGGCTGAATATCCGGTTGCGTACAATGGCACCACCGACACTGGTGGTGACTCGCTTCATGATGACTTGAACATCTACTACAGTGTATGTTGTATACCCCATAGGAGTCAATTGAGACGCGTGCTAACTAAAATGTGGATAGTCTGGTGATATCTCATGGGTCATTGTATCCACAGCCCTAGTGTTGCTGATGATTCCTGGAGTTGGGTATGACTTGACCCATCCCTTCCTACACCAAAGGGCTTTCACTCATCACTCGATTATAGATTCTTCTACTCCGGTCTAGCTCGTCGCAAGTCAGCACTCTCGCTGATATGGCTCTCGATCATGTCGGTCGGTGTGGTTTCATTTCAATGGTTCTTCTGGGGTTATTCACTGGCCTTCTCCCACTCAGCCGGTACCTACATCGGTAACCTCGATAACTTCGGCTTCAAGGGTGTTCTCGCCGCGCCATCTGTGGGAAGTGACAAGGTTCCCGATCTCCTGTTCGCCATCTTCCAGGGCATGTTCGCCGCTATTACGTGAGTCACTCATGCATCCATCATGGAGATACTCGGAACATCAATTGACGATTTCTTCTTAGTGTTGCTCTTGCTGTCGGCGCAGTCGCTGAGCGTGGTCGCATGCTCCCCTGCATTATCTTCATGTTCGTCTGGTCCACTATCATCTACGACCCCATCGCCTGCTGGACATGGAACTCGTCGGGATGGGTGTTCAAGCTCGGAGGTCTTGACTTTGCTGGTGGTACCCCCGTACACATTGCTTCCGGATCTGCCGCGCTCGCCTACTCCCTGATGCTCGGCAAGCGTCGTGGCCACGGAACCCACGAGCTCAACTACCGCCCTCACAATGTCACCCACGTTGTCATCGGCACCGTGTTCCTGTGGGTCGGCTGGTTCGGATTCAACGCTGGCTCTGCTCTCTCTGCCAACCTGCGTGCGGTTATGGCTGCCGTTGTCACTAACCTGGCTGCCTCCGTTGGAGGTGTGACCTGGTGTTTGATGGACTACAGACTGGAGCGCAAGTGGTCGACCGTCGGCTTCTGCTCTGGTGTCATTGCTGGTCTTGTTGCTATCACCCCCGGCTCTGGATTCGTCACTCCCTGGGCTGCTTTCATCTTCGGTGTGGTTGGTGCCATTGCATGCAACTACGCTACTAAGCTCAAGTTCCTCCTTGGAGTTGATGACGCTCTCGATATCTTTGCTGTCCACGGTGTCGGGGGTCTGGTTGGAAACCTCCTGACTGGCATTTTCGCTGCGTGAGTGAACCTACTTCCTTGCAGTATAGTCTGATCATAAACTAACTTCCATTATAGTGATTATATTGCGCATCTGGATGGTGTCACCGAGATCGATGGCGGCTGGATCAACCATCACTATATCCAGCTGGGATACCAGCTTGCCGACTCGGTCACCGGAATGGCATACGCCTTCTTCGGAACCTGTATCATTCTCTTCATTATGAACCTCATCCCGGGTCTTAGCTTGCGCGCACCCGAGGAAGATGAGATCATGGGTATTGACGACGCCGAAATTGGCGAGTTTGCCGTAAGTATTATTGTTCCTCAAACGGCCAAAACGCTTTCTAACATTTTATTCTCTAGTACGATTATGTCGAGATCCGCCGTGATGTTGTCGATGGCGTTGAGAGCTCAGAAACTGCCTCCAAGCGCACTACTACACCCACCGGCGAGATTGACACCAAGGCTTAGATCAGACTTGATCTGACGGCTGTTCTTTCTTTAATATTAATATGAGGCAACTGCCTTCCTTCCCTTCTTTCTTCCTTTCTTTCCTTTCACGTTAATACTTCTTTTTTTTCGGCGATGGCAGAGTGTCTTCGATACCTATTACCGAATTATAGGTATTTGGGATACTCTCCGGAGACCAACTTTCACTTTGATAGCATTCAGATACCCAAATATCAAATTCCATTCAACCATTCCGGGCAGCAAATCAAGTCCATAGAGCGTAGGCAAACCGTGACAATATCCATAGTAGTGCATGAGTAATCTTGAAGGCAACCCCAGACAAAGAAGTAACCGTGAGTAGCATGCCATTGAATATGAGAGTCCTATACTTTCGCTATGGATGTACTCTTACGTCGTATACTCCGCATGTTGTAGAGAGCTAGAACGCGGGATCCACCCATGTGCACCTGCCGGAGCGCCGCGCCGAGAAACACGGCGACCGGCGACCGTGTACTGAATGCGGGCAATCATCGCAAACCCTCCACGCTCCTCACAACCCTCCGGGCACATTGTCTCTTCCTTTTATTCATCTCTCCCATCTTCCGAATACTTTGCCCATCGATTGTTTCATCAAAATGTCCTTTCCGACCGACGTGGCGGAGTTTGATAGTGACCCGCGCATCTCGTTCTCGAGACCGGACAACAGCTTCCTACTTGAGACCAAGGATGGTCGCGAGTTCTTGTTCAATACCATCCTGAAGAGATGGGTAGAATCGGTATGTGATACACGTATTGGCACGCTGGCGCTTTGCGCTGGGCTGTCCGCTGACAATCCCCGCTAACCTGGCTTGCGACTCTAGATCGACGAGAAGCTCATCCGCCAGCAGCAAGGATACGGTCCCGAAGACCCCGAAAGTGAGATCGTTCATCCCCGCGATCGTAAGAAGCGAAAGCAGTCACAGGAGCCGGTAAGTGTTCTGGTCATTTGTGGCAGCTTGGTCGCATTGAAACTGACTTCTTTCGTCTGCTAGACCGATGAGCCCAAGGTCAAGAAACCTCGCGTCAACACCGCTGTGTGGGTTACCAATATCCCCACCGACGCTACCTTCTCCGAGATTCACGAGTCGTTCAAGAAATATGGCATCCTTGCGGAGGAACTTGACACTGGAAAGCCACGCATTGTAATGTACAACGACGAAAACGGCAATTTCAATGGCGAGGCTTTGGTCGTGTACTTCCGGCCCGAGTCAGTCACGCTCGCGATTCAGCTGCTCGACGAGACGGACTTCCGACTGGGTGTCCCCAACCCATGTGGACTGATGCGCGTCCAGGAAGCCGACTTTTCGTACAAGCGTGAACAGGAAGCGGAGCCCAAGGTTCTGACCACCAAAGAGAAAAAGAAGCTGAAGGAACGAGCAGATCGGTTGAATAAGTATGTTTGTTGATCATGGCAGTAGAGTGTTTCATACTGACTCGACTGTGATAGGAAACTTTCCGACTGGGGTGATGATGAGGCTGAGCTTGCCGCCAAAGCCAGACAGGCTGCCGAGGAGGCGCGCAGACATGTGGTTTTGAAGCATATGTTCACACTGGAGGAACTTGAGGTTTGACACACCTCTTCCAAAGTTGCTTTGCACGAACATGGAACACAGCTGACGTGTAATTATAGGAGGATCCACTCGCCACTATTGAGATTCACGAGGACATCACCAGCGAATGCGCTAAGATCGGACCGGTGCTCAAAGTTATGATCTGGGACGGAGAGGCTGATGGTGTTGCGACCGTCCGATTTGTGTCCGCAGCCGACGCACGTCGCTGTGCCCAGGTAGGCATCTCGGTTCGAATCAATGTAATTGCAAATACTGACTATCTTTTAGAGCATGGACGGGCGTATCTTCTCAAAGAGAACTATTGTTGCTTACATCTGGAATGGCGAGGAGAAGTTCAAGAAGCACCGTCCCCGACGCGACAGAAAACCCGAGGATTCAGACGATGAGAACGAGCGCCTTGAGCGGTATGGAGATTGGCTCGAAAGCGGTGGAAACAAGACAAACAAGAACCAGGAAACCGAAAATGAGAAGGCCGACAAGGACGAGACCGACAAGAGCCAGGAGACCAACAACGAGAAGGCTGACAAGAACGAGGTTGAGAAGAACGAGGTTGAGAAGAACGAGGCTGAGAAGAACGAGGCTGACAAGAGCCTGGAAATCGACAAGAACTAGCTCAACTGAACAGAAAACAGCGCAAGCAATTCCACCGAAGGAACCCAGAACGGTGGGAACTCTGTACCAACTGAGCGAATTTCAAACAACGAGTGCTACTGAGGGGCAAGCGAATACTTCCAAGTGAAAGGAAAGCCACGCCCAACTGAACGATATCCAAACGACGAGAGCTACTGAGAGGCGCGCGAGTACTTCCACGTGGAGGGAAAGCGGCGCCCATTGAACGAATACCCAACATGTATCATATTTTTCCCAATTGAAACCATTGAAATATTATTGTACTATCTTATGTAGTTGTAGTTGTAGTGAAGTTAGTGTATATAGACATAGCAACCGAAATAGGAAGTACAAGATCACGCGCCAAAGAAACACAAATATGGTTCGCACCTCCCCGAGTCCCGTGATGCGGCTATACCCAATCGGGCCCCCTCCCCCTGAAGTTCAGTTGTTGACTTGTTGATCCCACACACACCGCTCAACTGGCCCTCTTGCTTTCTCTTCTTCCCCATCCTCTCTGACTTGTCACCGGTCATCCTTTTTATTTCCATCTCTTTTCTAATACCTTCAAAATGCGTGAGATCGTATGTTATCCCCATCCAGACGCGTCTTTGTTTTCATATGGCCCCTGAGCCACGACCCCACTCTGGACAGATCTTTGCTAACATGCTCTAGGTTCACCTGCAAACCGGCCAATGTGTAAGTTCGACATGGAACATTCCTGGAAACATTCTTCGGCTCGTGGGACTAAACTGGAATTGGGTTATAGGGTAACCAAATTGGTGCCGCTTTCTGGTAAGTGCCGAGCCTTTTTTTCGCGTTGGGTATCAATTGACAAATCACTAACCGAATTGCAGGCAAACCATTTCTGGCGAGCACGGTCTCGATGGCGATGGACAGTAAGTCTACAGATGATGGGCTTTCCGGTGGATCACACGTCTGATATCTTGCTAGGTACAATGGAACCTCCGACCTCCAGCTAGAGCGTATGAACGTCTACTTCAACCATGTGAGTACCGCGTCTGGGCATTGATTAAGCGTGCACCATCTGATCGGATGTTTTTCTTTAATCTAGGCCAGTGGTGACAAGTACGTTCCCCGTGCCGTTCTGGTCGATTTGGAGCCCGGTACCATGGACGCCGTCCGCTCTGGTCCTTTCGGCAAGCTTTTCCGCCCCGATAACTTCGTCTTCGGTCAGTCCGGTGCTGGTAACAACTGGGCTAAGGGTCACTACACTGAGGGTGCCGAGCTTGTTGACCAGGTTCTCGATGTCGTCCGTCGCGAGGCCGAGGGTTGCGACTGCCTCCAAGGTTTCCAGATCACCCACTCTCTCGGTGGTGGTACCGGTGCCGGTATGGGTACACTCCTGATCTCCAAGATCCGTGAGGAGTTCCCCGACCGTATGATGGCCACTTTCTCCGTCGTCCCCTCCCCCAAGGTCTCCGACACCGTTGTTGAGCCTTACAACGCCACCCTCTCCGTTCACCAGCTTGTTGAGCACTCCGATGAGACTTTCTGTATCGATAACGAGGTATGAAACGCGTGGGAAACACTGAAATTGAGAATACTGACAATCCTAGGCTCTCTACGATATCTGCATGCGTACCCTCAAGCTCTCCCAGCCTTCGTACGGTGACCTTAACCACCTTGTCTCTGCCGTCATGTCCGGCGTGACCACCTCCCTCCGTTTCCCCGGTCAGCTCAACTCCGATCTCCGCAAGCTCGCCGTCAACATGGTTCCCTTCCCTCGTCTGCACTTCTTCATGGTCGGCTTCGCTCCCCTGACCAGCCGTGGCGGCCAGTCTTACCGCCAGGTCAGCGTCCCTGAGTTGACCCAGCAGATGTTCGACCCCAAGAACATGATGGCTGCTTCCGACTTCCGTAACGGCCGTTACCTCACTTGCTCAGCTTTGTTCCGCGGTAAGATCTCCATGAAGGAGGTTGAGGATCAGATGCGCAACATCCAGAGCAAGAACCAGAGCTACTTCGTTGAGTGGATTCCCAACAACGTCCAGACCGCTCTGTGCTCCGTCCCCCCCCGTGGCCTCAAGATGTCTTCCACCTTTGTCGGTAACTCTACCTCCATCCAGGAGCTCTTCAAGCGTGTCGGCGACCAGTTCACTGCCATGTTCCGTCGCAAGGCTTTCTTGCATTGGTACACTGGTGAGGGTATGGACGAGATGGAGTTCACTGAGGCTGAGAGCAACATGAACGATCTTGTCTCCGAGTACCAGCAGTACCAGGAGGCCTCCGTCTCCGAAGGCGAGGAGGAGTAGTAAGGATTCCCCACATCATCCGGCTTTCGAACATAACGACTAACGAATTTCCCCCTATTTTTAGCCTCGCTGAGGACATTGTTGACGAGGAGGTTTAAATAAATCTCCTTTGAGATTTGTTCAAAGTAATACCCTTGTGAAGCCTACATTCTCTACCATTCGGACCGGCTTTGTGGGCGTAAGCCGCGAACCCAATTTGTTTGAGCGCTCCTAATTTACACCCTTTTTTGTCTATTTTCCTACTTGGCTTGGGTGATTTGTTCGACCCCTCCAGAATAGCACATAGTGGAAATGACTTTCAATAGCTTTTTTAATCATGTTAATTGTAGTGAAGAATTGGTGCGGCAGAAGTTCATATGGGCCAGTACACTAGAGTTTATAACTTCAAAGACTATGTCGTGGCAATCTCACAAAGGATAACGCTAACTACACCTCGTCACAATCAATCCCTGCCTTTCTACAGCTCAATGGAAAGGACATTTCCCAGTCCGATACCCCTTGAACTCCGCTAGAGTCTCCTCTAACTGCTTCCTCCCCTTCCCTTCGAAATACTTCGGTCCAACATCTGCAACACTATATCCATTAGGATAATACTTGTCCCCCTCATCACCTGGCACAGCCCGCCCTAGAGCCCGAGTCAGCAATGCCATCGGGCCCCAGCGGTTCCAGAATGTGGGCTTGACATAGTACGGCGCAGCCTCCCACTCGGTAAGGAAGAAGCGGTCGTTCTCATCCGGATCCTCGGTGGACGAAGCGAAGCGCATGAAGTACGGTCGTGGCAGAGAGAGGTAGCGGAGGAATAGCCTGCGGGCTGTGAGGATGGTTGAGAGGAGTGCTGTGTAGAATGCGGAGGGGGGTTCGTAGCTGTTTAGTCAAGTTAGAGGTTAGTTGCGACCTGAACATGCAAACCAAAACCAAGAAAGAAAGAAACTTACAACATCGCCTTCCTAAGCCTGTCATCCATCATAAACGAAACAGCCTGCAACCCAGCCGGATGAAACACCTTAGGCAGCATATAAAGCAGGACAGCAGTAGTCTGATCCGCCGTCTCACGATTCTTAACATCAGGCACCATGCACCTGATCTCATACTCATCAGCCCAAGCAGCCAACTCATCGAGCCACTGAATCCCATCCTGGAACCCGGCTTTACCAGAGGGCAGTTTCTCATAGCTAATATCCAGCGCATCACCGGCACTCTTCCAGAAAGTCCCGATAGCGCATCGCTCCAGGTCACTCAGCTTGCGCCACTCATAGCGATCGATGAAGCGAATCGGCTGCAGCGCGAACAGCGCCAGCGTAAAGAGCATATCATCATCGAGGATCTTACCAGAGGCCCTGTACCCGCTGTGCAGGTAGCGCGTTCGGGCAAGACCGAGGCATGCGCGCATGGAAGTCGGGTTGTTGCCGACCCATTCTTGCACGAGGAGGCTGGTGTCTGTGTACCGCTTCAGGGAGGTATCCGGGTTGGAGAATTGGGTTGTTTTTGCGAGGAGGCGGGATATTGAGGGGATGCCGTATGTCTTTTTTTATAGTTAGAAAATGCATGTGTGGATCGGTAGATCATGACCCGGATTGTGAGTGTTTGCCCATGTGGGCGGGTTGGTAACTGGTCTTGTTTCATACCCGGAATAACGCGAATTGTAAGCTCTTGATGAATATGAATGGGAATTCGAGCTGCGCGACTTGTTTTTGGATCTGGAAGGCTTCTTCGTCGGTCATTTTGGACATCGACTCCCGTGTTGGATAGGCATATTGCTTGTGGAGCTTGCGCAGGCGTTGGAATCGGAGGCTTGTTGTTACTACTGGCCAGGCGATGAGGAGGCCTACGGCGTAGGGGAGTAGTTGGGTTGTCATACCCCCTGCTTGTAGTGAAGCCAGGGCGTCGGTGTAATTCATATTGACGTGCTGGTTTGGGGATGGCACCACGACAGGGGTTTTAACGAGGTTTAAATAAGAAAGTGGTGGTGACGAGTTCCACGGCACTGGCCCATTTACGTTCCCCACAAGGTTTATGTACTAGGTACTTTCTTATCATCGTACCCCGCGTATGTCAGCACAACATATATAACTAACTAGAGAAGCATGTAGTAAATATATGTATGTTGTATTTACTTTCTAATGTAGAGATTGTAATTGGGCAGTTTCAAACGTGGGGCCGAACACATTCCTAGGTTATCTACAGGTGCTTAAGCCACAGTATACATCGCACATTCATGTCACGGGTCGGAAGCACTTTGGCGACGATCAGAAGCTTAAGGTTAATATAACTTCGCTTTGCATTATTTAAAACTTTATTGAAGTTCACATCAGGTCTTTACAGTTCCCATGTTATCGCGCTATACTCTCTGGTTTATGTTGGGAGGATATACAATGCTCTGCCCCCACACTTACTGGCAGATCATTATGCCAACACATAAAATGAGTGACACACACTAGCGACCAATCAATTTGAGCTCCAAAGCCCGCAACGGTGGGAAAAACAACATAGTGAAGCCCGCACCCAACCAGAGACCCAGATCAGCTCCGCCAGCCATCTGCGCGATGGGGCCGATATAATACGCCTGAGACTAAACCGACGTATTAGCAAGACGCAGTCAACTGGATTCGGAGTATAAAGTCTTACCATGCCGACAATTGCACCAGCCCAGCCGATAAGGAAAGCAACTCCTGCTGCAATCCCCAACGGCAGTTTATCACGACAGTTCCACTGAGACCAGTCATAGCC